GGTTGCTTGACGTAGGGTCCAAGTCTCTCCTGGATCTTGTTCGGCGAGAAAATCACGTTCCCGAAGGTTTCATTCCATTTGGACTGCGTTCGATATTCCTTTTCTTCGAAACCCTGAAATAGGCAAAAAAAAAACAGCAATTCTGGGCTGGGCCTCCGGTTAATAGGTTAGTCCCAAAAATAATATAAAAGTGGATAATAAAGGCCAATAATGTCCAAAACAGTAGATAATATAGCATGAAGCAATCAAAAATTATAGATATGTTGGAGACGTATCACGTCACAATAGCATCATTAAAATAAGCACACTATGCAATAAAAAGAGAATCTATCTAAAACAGAACAGTATGTAATGATCTGAACAAAAACCATACTTTTGTAACTCTAAAAATTCTAAAAATTAGGACAACTTGGGCAATCTGTATATCAATTATGTGTAAAAAATAGATCGAAAGCACGTCCAAGTAAATTATAGAAATTCCTGGACTGGACGCAAAAATTTCTGTTTTTCACAGAATCAAGTCAACTATTATCCAAATCATCTCAAAGGCTTTATTTGGCACGAACACTAATTAAAAGATAAAAACGCAATCATTACAGTAGCAATAATCATGTCATCACACCAAAACAGAAATAAAAAGCAAAAAAACTTAAAATAACTATTGGGTTGCCTCCCAATGATACGTCTCCAACGTATCTATAATTTTTGATTGTTCCATGCTATTATATTGTCTGTTTTGGATGTTTTATATGCATTAATATGCTATTTTATATTATTTTTGGGACTAACTTATTCACCTAGAGCCCAGTGCCAGTTTTTATTTTTCCTTATTTTTGAGTTTCGTAGAAAAGGAATACCAAACGGAATGAAACTTCACGATGATTTTTCTTGGACCAGAAGACACCAAGAGGACTTGGAGTCCAAGCCAGAAGAGCCACGAGGCGGCGACAAGGGTGGAGGGCGCGTCCTAGGGGGGGCTACCTTGTGGGCCCCTCGGTGACTCCCTGGCCTAGCTCTTCGTCCTATATATTCACATATATTCCAAAACCCTCAGAGGAGTCCACGAAAATACTTTTCCGCCGCCGCAACCTTCTGTTCCCGTGAGATTCCATCTTGGGGCCTTTTCCGGCATCCTGCCGGAGGGGGATTCGATCACGGAGGGCATCTACATCAACCCTATTGCCCTTCCGATGAAGCATGAGTAGTTTAACTTAGACCTACGGGTCCATAGCTAGTAGCTAGATGCCTTCTTCTCTCTTTTTGATTCTCAATACCATAGAAAAACCCGATGAAAAAACAAAGAAAATTAATGTGTAGCAAAGAAAAATCCCAAGAAAGCCCGAAGAAAAAAGAGAAAAAACCTAAAGCGAAAAATGTGCCCGCCTGTTATTGTAGCGCAGAGAAAAAGCTTCCGCCGAGAGAACCCTTGATGACATTTGGTCAGAAAAATCCTTTGATGGAATCTAGTTCCATGCCCATCTCATCACACAAGAGCACTTTTCCATTTTGCACCTTAGTATACACCGATATTCGCTCCAGGCCAAACATGAGCAGTTTCCCAAATGCAGCCAAGTTTTCTTACAGCACACACACACGCACCAGGGTCCTTATCGCAAACGCGCCCACGCTCTCACCACTCGTCTCCTTCCTCTGTCCGTCCCCCCCTCCCCCACCCACCGGCGACCTCACCCACCCCCTCCCCGATCCGCCGCCCGCCCGCCCGCCGGAGATGCATCCCGCCGGCGCCGGGGACTACTCCGCCCCCTCGTACTACCCCCCATACCCCGCCCCGG